CCCCCCCCCCCCCCCCCCCCCCCCCCCCCCCCCCCCCCCCCCCCCCCCCCCCCCCCCCCCCCCCCCCCCCCCCCCCCCCCCCCCCCCCCCCCCACAGAGTGGTGAACACATACCTGATACTCCGTGTTGAGAGTCACGACGCAAGCTTCGTGTGCACGAATGATGGTCTCGCAAGCCTTGACAACGCTCGGCGACGCCTCAAGCTGAAGCTTATCGGCGATGAGAAGGAGCAGGAACGAGCCCTGCAGGAGGTAGATGCCGAAGAAGAAGGGCATGAACTCCAGGCCAGGATCGAATTCGAGAATGTTGCTGATGGCCTCGGCGGCGGAAACAGCGTGCCCAGTGGCGGTGATGAAACCCTGGCTACTGATCCAGAGGTCGTTGTCGTCGAGGAGATTGATGGGATCCCATTTTCCCGCCAGCAGAATATGCAGCACGTGCATTACGTGATGGCCATAGGCGAGCACGATGCGGGTCTGAATGACGCTTTCCGACATGCGGCTCGTGCTGGTATGGCCGCTGTGGACTGAATGCACCGATGGGGTGCTAACGTCGTGTGGCAGGCCGTCATGCAGCATCTCGTTATTGTCCTCGGCGTTGTGGGCGTGCCCATTGGCACTGAGGTGCCGCTGCTCGAATCTCTTGAGGCTCTGCTCGTAAGACTCGAGATGGCGAACAATCTCGGCCGTCTGCTCTTCCCACTCGCGCGAGGACCTGAAGCTGACTCCGAAGCGAGGATGGTTCCGAGCATGATGCAAGTCCACGATCTCGCCTAGGATGGCCATCAACGGCAGGAAATAGCCGAAGATACTGTGGCCGCTGCACTCGAAGGGCGGCCCGCCCGTTCTGGCACCTGAGGGGTCTGATGCGAGGACGTTGGGGTCCGTGGCATAGTTGTGGAAGTTCCCGTTCTGCCAGTCCGTGTCGTCCATTGGCTGGAGGAGCCCCGCGCACTCAACGTCGAGGAGGAAGAGGGGCCGGTTGTAGCAGAGGGCCAGGTGCCGGTCAACGATGTAGACCAGCCACCAGATGCGCCTCCTCTCCTCGCGCTCTTCCTCTGTGATGATGCCGGAATTGGCGTTGCCCATGTCCTCCTCGTCCTCCCCGTCGGCGTCAATCTCGCCAGGGTTTCCTTGATGCAGGTTCATGGACGGGGAGTTCTGGGGCAGCTCCCGGTTGAGCTTGAGCTCACGGGCCAGGGACCAGGCCGCGTTCCACCAGCGCAGGCTGGCGCCCTTGTACTCGCTCGCCGACACGACGGTGGCAAGATGGATGTAGGTGACGACGTCGTCCAGAGTACCGGCAGCGCCGAATGCGCCGGATTCGCCTGTAAGGGCGTCCATGCTGATGCTCCCGGGGAGGGCGACTCCAAGGCCTCCCAGGGCGACGCCGTCAACGATGGGGCTGGAGACGGGCGAGACGTCACCCGACGGAGTGTGGATCAGCGGCTTGAGGAGGCTGACTGTCAACTCGAGGAGTTTCTGGCAGATCTTGCCACGGGCGGAGGGGACGCTCGTCAGGAATGGCGCGTCGCTCGTTTGTGCAGCAACCCACAGCATGCTTGCTAGGAGAGCTGGTTGGCACTGTCTCGGCTTAGTAGGGTGCAGGAACGACCGTTTTCGGAACACGAACCCCAAAACGTATGGCGACATGGGGTGCATCTGGGCGGATGACGAGCTGGCGAAGTATAGATCGATGAGATCGCAGGCCAGAGACACCGGAATCATGTTGCCCAAATGCGGGATCAGAGGCTCCAACACCGGGTAGCGCATCTGAGAGTGGCCGTAGTTGTTGTTCTGCGGGATGTGGGAGGCATATTGAGGCGGCGGCGAGGACATGCTCATCCAGCCGGGCGAGGTCGTCTCTCCAGCCATGGGGTAACCACCGAGCGGGCTCTGGCCCAGGCGGAACGAGTTTGGTCCGTTTGTCGAGTACGTCGTCGGGCTCTGGGTCTGCAGCGCGTAGGGGAGGTCGGGGTAGTTGGACATGTGCCCTTGGTTCGAGCCATATGGGGCATTGGCGGCGCCGTTCATCATGTGCGCGCCCATCCCTTGCCGCTCGTAGGCAGCATGCACGTTGCCATAGCCACTGAGATCCAACCCGGTCGGGCTGTCGAGGTGGTCTCTGCCCATGGCACCGGGGTGACCGGCCATGTGCCCCTGGTGGCTACCCATATCGTCCAGGCTGTCAATGCTCCCGGTCCTCTGAGCCCTGGAGATGGCATCGTCGCCCATCTCGCTCATGCTCTTGTCGTTGGACGGTTGGTCTTGAGACATGCTGATGATCTGCTTGGTTGAGCTGGCGTTGTCGCTCCGGCTCTCGGTGGATTGGCCGTTTTCGGTTGCGTTGGAGGGAGACTTCCGTCCGCCCTGGCCCGCTGCCGCCGCTGCAGCCTGTGCGGCAGCTTGCTGGGCCAGGTCTTTCCTCGAAGCCTTGCCTCGCTTCTTCCTCTCCCTGATGTATTCGCAGCCGAGCCCGAATTCTGTGGCTGTTAGCTTTACGCTCTGTCTCTAAAAATGTCGGTCAGACTTACCAATGCAATGGGCACAGGGATGCTGGCCATCACACTTTGTCCGGAGCTGGTTGCACTGGTCGCACGCCCTGCTGATCCTCCTCCGGATGGGACCTGCTGCGCCGGTGACCCTCGCGGCAGGGCCGTAGGGATGCTGCCTGTGCTTAGCTTGTGGGCCCGGCCTAGCCAGATGGTGGTTGTGCACTCCTACGTGCTGCTGGAGCTGCTGAAGCGCGTAGTGGGATCCTTGGGAGAGACCGTCGAGGCCGGAAGAGTGAAGGTGGCCAGCTGGAACATGTCCATTGGAGAGGAGGGTGGTGGAGGGGATGGTGTGGTAAGGGGAGAACCGGTGAAGAGGGTTGGACAACATCTTGCAAGGTGCCCCGTCGATATGTGTAAGTGGTGAAGACTAAGAATAAGAATAGATTTGAAAGAAAGGGTATTAAAGTCAACAATGAGAGGTCGTCAAGACCATATATTCAACCAGAGACAGGCAGCTTCAAGCGAGTGAGAGCAGTTGGTTGAAGCGGTGCTACGTCTATGAGACAAGGGCAGAGATAGCGAGGAAGAGGCCGTCGGCGATGAGGCCGGGTGGTGCAGCTATCTATATCTCTGCGTCGCTGGCCTTGGCGGAGGAGCTTGGCTAGCTGTCAGGCGGGAGAGCAAGAGGTCAGCGGCATTCGGACGGGCCGAAGGGGGACATTTGTGGGGAAGCGACGAACGAAGCATGAGCATTAATGGGGAGCTAAAGAAGCATGACGGAGACCAAAACAGTGGGAGGGGATCAACACGGTTTGTTGGAGCACGGCAGAGTGATAACCAGCATCCCATCCACGCACATGGCGGGGTTGGGGAGGGGTGTAGGGGTGTACCAGACTCGACTGGACGTGCGGCCCAGGCGACCGGGGGGGGGGGGGGGGGGGGGGGGGGGGGGGGGGGGGGGGGGGGGGGGGGCGGGGGGGGGGGCGGGGGCGGGGGGGGGGGGGGGGCGCCGCGCCCCCCCCCCCCCCCCCCCCCCCCCCCCCCCCCCCCCCCCGCCCCCCCCCCCCCCCCCCGCCGGTGTGCGTGTGAGGGGTGTGGAGGGACGGAAACTGGGCGTGTCCAGAACGTAGAAGGCAGGGAATACGAAAATGATGTGAACAACATACTGTTGTACAGGAAGTGATTTGGGAGGCCGGCTGGCTAGCCCCAGGCCACTCCAGTCCAGTCAGGGGAGGCGAGTTTCTTCCCCCCGCCTCAGATCCTGCGCGTCTCCGTCTTCGTCTAGGACCAAAGCAAGCCCTCGTTCGGTCTCAGCCTTCCCAGATTATGTGCCGTATAGTGCCGTCAGAGTGGCCGGAACGAGATCAACTCGCCAAAAGGACCAAAGGATGTCTGTTTGGGGAGCGAATCGGTAAAATCTCCAGCAGTCGGTTCCTGATTCCTTGGGACGGGCTCTCGAGACTCTGTATGCGGCCTTGGCGTGCATACAGGAGGGGAGGATGTCAGAAGAGCTTGTTGATCAGGAGTGATTCTATTGGTGACTGGGCGTCCCCTTTCATTCACCACAATATCAAGTATCGCATTTATATTGTGAGGATAATATACGCGGCGGGACGGGAGGTATATGTGTGTGTATGGGCGTGTGTGGACGGTGGGCGGTCGCTCGACAAGCTTGCCGTCGGGGTGGTTGCGTGCGAGTGCGAGCGAGGGAGAATTCAAATTGACTTCAAAATTTGGCCGTTGCGGAGGGCCATTCAGGGCTTAACTACTCCTTCTCCCATCTGGCCTTATGTACGGATTACATACTACCTACAGGATTACACTACTACACTGCACTAGGTAATTAGACCGCCCAACGCTCCTCCCTCTGCAGTGGAGCAAGTTGAGGAAAAGATGGAATGGAACATGGGATATTCTAGCAGGGGTCGTATTTAGTGTGCGCGCGATGAACTGCGTACCTACCTTCCCACGAACTGTACGATGACTGACCGCCGGCCACCTACTTGGGGTGGAGAAGACGAGACTGGCACTTGCATGTATGTGTACAGTACAGTAGAGTAGGTACAGTACCATGTCGCATGCCCAAGTTGGCGAACGAATGAGGTATGCTGTTCACGGAGATGCCCGCAGCCAAGCGCGAGCCTACTGTAGACCTCCGCAGCTTTTGAGGTGCCGGAGCTTACTCTCGAAGGGGCTCATTTCGAGATGGGTCCATATTATGCTAGGGAAATCTTCAACGAGCATGGGGGCATGGGGCTGCCAGGATGGCAAAGGCGAACTTCCTAGGATTGTCTGAGGTGGCGGCGGAGAACCGGCGATGGATCCCTTGTCATTTTGGGGGGGAGTGGACTGTGCAACCCCTGCCAATAGCGAGCTTGGCGCTCCCGTCTGCGAAGTATTCGGCCAGAGAGTCGCCGAGGCACACACACTCTCCCTCCATTGGGAAGGAAGTTGGAAGTTGGGGTCGAGGCCGGATCGGTAAGCCTTCGTTCCTCTCCCCCTGTCGCTGCACCTGCATCCCATCCCCACCCCACTAGCGTTAGTCATTCGAGACCCCACCCCTGTCCCCGATGTGCCCCTGCCGCGTCGCTACAAGCCGTTTCCGAGTTCCTCCTGGGCAACGGAATCAAGGATTGATGGAGGACCACTGCGTCTAGATCCGTTCTACTAAGTAGGTACAGACCATAATGGACGAGGTACGGAGTGTATTCGAGGCATTGTGCCTGGGCCTGCGGAGGCGAGCCTTTCCATGTTTGTTACGGACCTTGGATACTTGAGATTGCGAGGGTGCAAACCAGCAATTCTGGTTCGAAACCCCAGATCTCTCGGATGTCGACATCTGGGGATCTATCGCGGGGACCCCAACACTAGTGTACGCACATGTGTGTGTGTGAGAGAACGGAGTCTGGGTAGCACTGGGTGGCCTCTGAGGGTCATGTTCTCTCATCAAGCTATGTCCCGCAGGCAGGCACGTAATATACAAGCAGTGAGGTAGTATAGGGAACTTGTTCCTGTGTACCTTTTTTCTTACCTGGGTTAGGCATGTCGGGTAGGACCCTGTTGCGGTAGATGAGGCGAACGTTCCGATAACTTCTGCGGGCGCGGCCACCTTAGGTAATGAATGCAATTTGCATGGCGGCGTTGCGTCCACTCCAAATTCAGGGCCATGGGAATGATGGAATAGTCTTCATTTACTAGGTGCACAGGATGCTCCGGAAAAGGTAGCTGAGCAACAGCTTTCAAACATACGATGCAGGGCCACATGACAGTAAGCCTTGAACCAACGTGCATGACCGGCCCTTGCTGAATTTGGGCCAGCAATGGATTGCAATGGTCAGAATGACATGGGCCCCGATGTTGGGGTTGGTGGTAGGCCAATATCGCGCAGGCTTAAGTCGAAAAATAATGGCCGAAATGACTCCTCCAAACAGAGCGAGTTGAAACAAAAACAAGGTTCCGGCAACCAATAGCACGCAGAGTGTCATGTGGGAAGTATAGACCTCGCAATCATAACACAGCAGCATCTGCGTAATGTGAATGAAGCCACAAGCCAAAGCAACGGGTATGGGAATAGGGCTGGCATCTGGCTTTTGGTGCAGCTGCCCGTCTGCCGGGCCAGACAAATGGTGGTGTGGCATCTGTCACACCGTGTCACTACCAACCTTAATCGGCGTGCCTCATGCAAGTCCATAAGTATTTATCTATCGACGTACCTGAATCATATATTGCGTGCATGCTTGACTACCTATTCCCCAGCCTTCCAGTCAAGTCAACACACAGTCTTGGTCAGGTCAGATGGACCATGGAATTCGAATCGCTCGTTGAAAATTGCCGTTTTCGGTTTTGGTGTCTCTATGTTTAGGTCTGCAGCCAGGGCTTACTTACCGACACCTGGGGCCAGGCCCGACGCGCATGAGGACAAACGGACACCGCCGTTGTCACTTGTCGCCGTCTATCATGATGGACATCCATGCGTACACCGCTCTGGCTGGCCGACAGAAACTTGGTGCTTATTACTGTGTATCACCACCGTAAAAAAGATCAACAATTTTCTTCCTCTCTGTGGAAATCGATTGACAATTGGCGTCTTGGTCTACACAGAGATCGGCCAAGGTAGAGACTACGTTCGGCTAGTCGAAAGAGCTTAGCGCGGTTCTCGGTAGGCATCCGACTATGACAACGCTCCTGCTGCTGTGGCGTTCAACCCATTAAGGGACGGCGGACCGACAATCCACACTGTCACCGCCAACACCGTCCGATGACGTCCTTCTCATTCATGGAAACCTTGCAGGTGCAGATGGCGTTAAACACAAAATCCAATGAGCTTTGCGCGTCGCCCCCCCAAGAATTCTTAACGTGCGTATCCGTACTTCAGTAACCCCGGACTAACCAAGGTCATGCTCTGCGAAGATTGTACCTATATCAGAGCTCGTAACCCATGTCCCTCAAGGCCAGCCAGCTTTCGTCTCAGTCTTCCGGCCACGTGGCAGCTGATCAATCACAAAGTGGCGGCGGGTGGCTGGTGGCTTGCCTCGGGCTGCGCCTAATCAAGCCATTGTTTCATGTTTCACATTCCCCCCCAACTGACAGATGGCCGTGGTTTGATGGGGCAGAAACCTCCGTCTTATGAAACAACCCGCTTTCGCTGCGGGAGAGGAAGCTTGTTGAAACCAGCAGGCGCAATACGCTCGCTACACGTACGGAATATGATTGCCCATCCCTCGCGGTACGCTCCAGGAACTCGGAAAACAAGAGAGATGTCGCCAGGCCACCTCATTGCCCAGCATCTCAGATCTGTTACAAGATCGGATTTCGCTCCTCGAGTCCCCTTTCAGAAAGGCACGGTAGGATTTGGCAGCTCAGGTGCCGATCAAAACTCTCCGCTGTACCCCGCGCTGGGTCGCCCGCAGTGGAGTACATGTGCCTTGGAGGTTCGTCCAGGCGGCTTCAATCTGTCAGATTCAGCGTTTGCCCACCAAGTGGTTCCTGGCACCCGGGCGCAATTTGGCAATTTATATTGCATCACACTGACGATGCTGTTCTGCGGCAAAGACAGCACTGGTACCTGCTAACACATATTGCGTCTCCCCCTCGTCTATCCACAGTGCAATATATTGCCTGGCTACACGCGCCGCCGCACCCTGCGGGAAGGGGACCGACTTTCCATCAGCTCTGGAGGTGCGATATAACTAAATTAAAAAGTGCGTAAAAAATAATCTTGCGAAAGAACACCACACGAGATGTCTCTACTCATGGCCCGACCGGACGGCCTGTTGTGATCGCTGTGAGTCTCATACAAGTACACCCTTGAATCGGTCTTTGACAGCTCTTGCCAAGACATTTGGCATGAATCAGGAACGTCATGGGTTAGCACTGGTTGCCCTGACCAGAGCCAAACTCGGAACCACCACGGCGCCAACGACTCCATTCAGATATCGGACTCGCACTCCTCCACTCTCGCATATCAAGACACTGAGGATACTGAGGGGCAAGCCGGTTGCGTGGTTGGCAAACCCCTTGGCCTAGATACATACCGGCGCATGGAGTCTTGATCGCGTCTCAAACCTCCGCGGGGCAGAGCCGCTGAGGAGGGACCGCACATGCACCCGTTTCCGTTCCTGAGGAGGCTGCATGGGCCGCCAGCAGGAACCGCGAGAGGCAAACCTGGTCACAGGGCGGGATGAGAGGTGCAAAGGTACGGATGGTCCAGTGATATTGCAATTGGCTAGAAACCTCAATAGGCATCTACCGAAAGCAATATCGCGGGGAACCGGTGGCGAGGTACAGCCTCACAGGATTTGCTATCCACTGGGAGGGCAGCGGTCGCATGGTGTGTACATGGGCTGCCGGCAGGAGCAACGCTACGGATTCCTAAAACAACAAATAAAAATGAAAAATAAAGGGTTAATATCGAGACCACGTGTTGGCCGACGTGAAGGGTGCAAAGCCCTGTCCGCCCTGTCATACACAGTACTTGTCCCTTTGGCTTGAGAATCAATGAAAGGCTGGCTATCAAAGTCCGGAACTCGATCAAGGGCTGTTGTCGGCGGGGTTCAACTCGACCCTTCACTCTTGATCAGCATCAAAACCGTGGTCGGAAGGAGAGGGAGTATTTTTGATTGGTTTAGATTAAGATGACAATTTATTCGTACGAAGGCGCGCCCCATTCTGAAGCAGGTTCTCGCGGCCGCCACAATGACGAGCTCAGATAGTCGAAACACAGAAGATGGGCATGGGCGTGCATCAAACTGACAGGGGGGGGCTACCATCGGAGGGAAGTGACAGACGCTGTCCAGATTGGAGTGTACGCCACGCAGGCCGGCAGTTACGTCTCAAGACTGTCCCACTCGGAGTCTGGGCTGACCGGAGGCAGAGAGAGGGCTGGCCTACTACCCTTGGGGGGTGCCGGTCGCTTCCTCCGACCTTGTCTAAACCGCATCTGTTAGCCTCTCCAAGATCGAGCAAGAATGGTTCTTTTTCTCGGGTCTCTCCAAAACAGATTCGAGAAGCCAAGGGTAAAAAAAGGCAGATGAACCATGGGTGGCTCTGTAGACATTTGAGACCCCCGTGAGTTCCATCGGGTCCCTCTCCCTTTTGGGTCTAGTCCAGGCCTTAGGTTAGGTAGGTAGGTAGACTACCGTAGGGCCCCATGTTTTTAAGTTGGTAAAAAAAAAGCCCATGCACATGTCTCCCGTCGTTGAACGCTCAATTCTCAATCCGTAAATACGTACGTGAGGTGCAGTTAATACCTTCACGGGAAGTGCTCCGTCCGAGGTGACCACGCTACATAGAGGGTCCGTACGGCACTTGTCAGATTGCTAGTGCAAATCTCAGAAAGCGGGGGAAGGAGGAGGCACGGGAGGGCGGGGGGTGGTGGGTTGGGGATTCTCACCCATGCTTGCTCCTCCATCCATGGGTTAAGCAAAGTGTGGGGGGAAGAGAAACGAACACCTTTGAGCCCTAAAAATCATTCCGTGGCAGCGTGGGAACTGGTTGATAGGAGGAAAGGGTCCCCCGTCCTTGTCCCCCATCCCCATCCCTCTCGCTCTTGGCCGTGGTCGACAAATGCTTAGCAGTTCATTGCCCGAGTATTTTATATTTTATATTTTATTTTATTTTTGGGTTCATCACTGCGCGCTCCTCGCTACCTGTCGCCGCCACAGACTGAGAGAGGAGGTCAGACAACCTCTATCCTACCTAGGCAGTCTCACTGCCACCAGCAACCAGCAACACCGCTGTCACCCACCACCTATTAGTCTGTCATCAACCAGTTCGCGGTGCCTCTGGTCGCGAACACGCGCTGCTGCAGGGGGCTTCTGGCTTGCAGCATGGCGGCCATGCCGTGGAGAAGGAAAGACAGCCTTCCGTTCCTCAACAGAGCGGTCAGCCCACTATCTGCATCCCCCGTGACCTCAGGCAGACGTGAAAACCGTTGGATCTTCATGGCGGTGGGGGGTTCGGTCGCTGGTCCAGTGAACAGCGAGGCAGGACGAGCCTCACGCTGTGATCATGACAACCCTGACACAATCCATGTTTTGGGTGCGCCTCTTTGCCGGGGCCCCTGCAGCAACGTCCAGAGCCGCGCAGAAACCTCCGGGGTCAGGGGACACCCCGCAATGATCAATGGTTCCTCACCACGATGCGAATAACGTCATAAAATCCGGCAGGGCGATCAAACTCGTTCATCTTATCTGGGGAACCACATTCTGACTCTCCACTGGCTGACTTCGTCTGATCTATTTTCTGTTCGCCCAACACCCTTGCATGAAATGGACATCTGCCAAATATGCTTTGTCGTTTCAAGGGCTCTCATCTTTTCCGCCCTCCCCCGTCCTCCAACAACGGTTTTCGCCATGAATTCCTTCTCATGTGATCCCTCAACCCTACCGTCGTCGGCCCATGATCCTTGGACATCCTGTGTCCTGCAACTTACCACCTAGGCAATCTTCTAGAACCCATTGCTCATCCTGCCTCAGGTGGGCTGGCGCCGTCCAAGCTGGTCTGCCCAACAACGGTCGCTTTGACATCTCACCCGCATCTGCTGCATATGACAGGCGCAGACAGCAACTCTACAGTCGGTAAATTGTGGACCTCACCCGCACAGTCTTGATACCAAAGCAGAGAGGCTGCGTTCTCATTGCTCCCAACGAGCCGTCCTCGCAGCTCCCTCTGCAGGTATCGAATTGTCTCTGTCCCGCCGCACCCCCACCCCCTTGATTCTTTGAGATTCTTGAGAAATGTTTTGTGTCTGCTGGCTGCGACTCGCCGCTTGAAGAATTCGCATCCCTTGCACAAGAAAACGGGTCTCTGTTGGTAGTTGGACTCGCCGAGGAGTCGCACGAGTCAGCCCTACGGGCCTCGCTTGGGTTTGACATTGACGGCTGCTAAATTGGGCGAGGCTCTTGGTCGTGCCAAGCAAAGGCAGAGACCGCCATCCCCAGACCAGATCCGTGTTTTGGATGTCCCGTCCTCGTCCAATCGTCAACACCACCATCCGACTGCCGTCACGTGGGGCATCGCTGTCCAGTTAGAGACGAGATTGTTCCCATTGCCGGCATGTTACACGCGCGAGAGAGGCCGTCCCTCTGTCAATGCTGGCCACCGCAACCTCCCTCGCCCAATCCAGCCTGGTCATGCCCTTCCAGAACGATCCGGGACATCAGCAGCTGCACGTCGGAACCGATGGGCCTGTCTTCATCCGAACTCTCATTTGCGGGACAGGGTCAGGGCCTGCTCATGCCGCTGTCCGCCATGCTGCTTCATGTCGTCGCACATGTATGATGATCTCTGCATTTTCAGCCGCCACCCCTCAACTCAAACTTCTCTCCAGCCTTCCATGCTTCCTTGTCGAATGACAGGCCGAGGGGTAGCAGAGATCGGACGACTGGAACGGCGCCAACGTTAGACGTTGGGCGACCCAAAGGACGCAACCCCCAGGACCCTGCTTCTTCCCGCATCTTGTCCCGCCATCGTTACCACGCGGCACATGCAGGCTGCGAGATACCGAGATGGGACGGCAATGCACGATGCAGAAGAGCACGGAGGAATAGTGGGCCGGGGATCGAAGTAGAGCAGGCTTCTTCCCTGTATCACACTGTAGAATCTGCTTCCATGCCGGGCCCCCATCTCGGTTGGCGGCGTCGTGCATTCCCTTGATGCAACGCTTCTGGAAGACTTCCTTGTCGAGAAGTCGGGTCGAGAAGTCGGGTCGAGAATTCGGGTCGAGCGAAGGGAAGGGATGAACTTGCAGGTGAGTTGTCAGCTGACGTCCCCTTTTGTCCATCCCTTGGGGCTGGCGAGGATGTAAACACTGCCCCCGTTTAGCCTCCTCCCATCCTAAAACAGGCTGTGAGTCGAGTTGATGACCATGGTCGTGATTTAATCACCAATAACATACCTGACGACGGGGCGCCTGTTCCCTTTCTCGCGTGTCACAAGACAGTCAGCCAGTGTTGTCCGTTTCCGGCTGTGATGGGTGTTACAAGGTCCAAAACTGCCAGCCTCGTGCCTAAAGCAGAACGGAAAATTGAGCCTCAACCCCTCGCCAGCCTTGTCGTGTGCCTGTCGACAACCTCGGCCGGATTTGGCTAAAGACTGTTGAGGATGCGGCTGTGTTTGAACTTGATGAGGATGCCATTCTGCCCTGATAAATACCAGCCGCCGTTGTACGTCAGCTGGGCTGAGAGATAGACTATTTGAATGTGTATATAGAGGTGTGATGGAAGCCTCTCTCTCCCTCGTCGCCGCTTCTGGTCCTTCTGTGAACTATGTCTCGCCCGGATATTTGACCGCAGTAGCCATCCAGGGAATCGATACCATCGATCATCACCATAACGCACGACGGAACCATGACCGAGTGAACATAGCGTTGGACCTCGACATCAGAGACTCGAAAGGGACACTCGACACTGGGGTGATGCTGGGGAATGTCTCACCCATGGGGTAGAGCCTGCGAGCATACGACTTCATGGCGGCGTCAACAGGAGCCTCGCTACCCGTCCAAGAATGTCCAATGCCACTCGACTGCCGTCTGACACCTATGGGGCCAAGGGAAAGGGAATCAAATGACCACACCCTCGTCCGCTGCCACTGGCCCGGACCTAGATAACTACCGATCCTCGACATCAGAATATCCCATGTCTGAAAGACTGGACTGGAATGCCAGCCAACCGGCCACGCGGATAGACGTTGACCACGCATTCTAGACGAACCATTGATAAGCACAACCATCGGTGTGGCTGATGCTGGCGACTCTTGTTATCGAGGAGGAGAAATGGGGGCCGGCAGAAAAGGGCGAGGCAAAAAGGGGGAGGGAGGAAAAGAGAAGCCAGGGAGGTCAGTTTGAATTTCGCCAACCCTGGGACCCGACGACTCGTCCAGGGACAATCATAAAATGCCAGTCGAAGCTCAAGCTTGGAAAGGAGATATCGAGACCAACCTTCCCCGGCCTCCTTTTCTCCCGTCGGCGGGCTCGATGCTTTCCTTCCTCAGGCCCGCTCCCCAGGTGCAGCTCACGCACCGGGTATCTGGGGGGGGTTCCTACAGGCAGCAGGCTCCAAAGGAAACCTCGTTGAAGAAGGTGGGACTCGGAACAGAGGCTGATAGGGGCCCGTTGGTAGGTCTGCGGGGGCCCTCACGCACTCGGACTCGCACAGCCGGGGCTGAAGACAGGCACCGAGTGGACAATGGCGTTCTGATCAACTGTGCCTCTCCCCAATCGTCACCGTCAGCTCTGATGACAGACTTGGGGTATATGGGGGCTGGTAGTTGGAATGCTGTGGGTCGGCTGTGTGAACCAACTTCCAGTTCTATCTTCCAATATTGGTCAAGCCTGCTCTTGCACATGTGGAAATGGCGCTAATCCCGCCAATTCCATGATGTTGCAATGGATATCTCTGAAGATACGAGGGAATCTGACCTCAGTCATGAACAGTCTCCCAAAAGTAAAAGTAAAAAGGGTCAGGGAGTTGACGGGAGCGCCGCCATGAACCACTTTTCAAGTAGATTATCCCAGGGTCGCCCTTTGAGTACTCCAAGTCAGCATATATCCATCAGTCCTAGGCTTAGACCTATAATCACAATCCATCGCGTCTTGGCTTTGTACAACATGCTGAAGATCCCTGAGCAGAGTCTGTATTATTGAGGGCATAGCAGAGATGTCCAGTATCAGGGCAATCGGCCAGGACTAACGGCACCGATTAGCGTAGCCATGCATAGCACTGCTCTCATGTATGACCCGCACTAGCTCGGGCAACATGCGCATCCATCCGAACCCATCTCGGCTCTGCCATGATCCGGACAGCACCGGTTCCATATCCGGACATTGTGCGGCGGGGGGGAAGGAAAGGCAACTGTCAATGTACCACACATTGCCACACTTGCTCAGTATCCGCGTGTCATTGCAGTCTCTGTTGTCACGGACGAACAGGGTTCAGTTGGCCTATGGCCGGAACCCCTGAGCAAGGGCCGAGTAATGTTATCGGAACACCAGCAACGGCTTGCTCGGGGATTTAGAGGTGCCAGTCCAACACCACGGTGCCAGAGGAGTTTGGTTCTCCTTCTGGGCTTCGAGGCTTTCGGGGCTCCTCAGGAGAGGCTGGAACGAGATAAGGTTCCTATCGACTTCGTGATTCGTTCAGGCCGGGCCAGATCGCCCCGGCTGGCAAGTTGTTAAAGAAAGGCTACCGCCATCGATAATTCCACGATGAGGGCTGCGAAAGTGATCATAAATATTGCCCGATAGGAAGACTTGAGCGGAGCAACGCACTGGTGGGCCTCGACAGTGATTCGGGTAGCCTGGCGACGGGCAGCCTGGCGACGGGCGTCCACGTTCGATTGTGGAGATGCGCTGGCAAAACCAGCAGAAAGGAGGTGAGGAAGAGGTGTCAAGGGAGGAAACACTTGGAACAGGACTGGGGATAAAGGAGGAAGACCATGGGCTGTGCTAGCCATTCCCAGTTGTGAAGAGCTTGCTGGTATACCACAAAAATAGGGGTCTCTGAGCCAAGACGCACCTGGTCCAAGGCAGGCTCGGCGGATATCTTAATCCCGATTGGAATCTAATTCGTTCTTCTCAGCTCCACTATCCCGTCTAAGCTCATACAAGTAGTGAGATAAAGTAAGCAGAATATTCAAGGGCAAAGTAAAGCCTTAATTAACCTGGTGCCAATCGCAAGGTCTCGTTTGAACATAGTCTTGACAGGCGTGAATACAATTGGCGGCCACAAGGCAGTGTTATGGTTACTCCCGAGTCAGAGAGGCCACTCATACTTCTGGTAATATCCTGAAGCTTGAAGCACACCTCCAGGCAATGAGTTGTTGTAGCCGGGGCAAGATCTGATATTGACGGTGATCAACCCCTGAGGGTTGCCAGCCGAACTGTCATATGGCCAGCAGCCTCGGACTGCCACACAAGACAAAGTCTAGGACTCCGTTAGCTGACGGTTGTTACAGTACGTACTAAGTCAAAAAATAGATATTCGCAGAAACTGGAACAGAGATGTGTATATTGAATTCGAACAACATTGTGAGACGCGATACGCGTTTGAATGTCAACAATAATACCCCTGTCAACCAACCTTCCGCCGACGTCATTTCGGACCCCAGATGCATATTACGTAAGGCACGGTTCTTTTGTCGCCGAGGACGGAAAATAATCCCTGACCTTGAGGTTGCTAACATCGATTCATCGTGTCTAAAAAGCAGACATCGCGGCAACACGACGTTCAAAATGGCGCACATGACCAATCCGTTGGCAACCCCTGAGCAATTATACCGACGGAACTCCTTTAGCTCCCTTCCGCAGGAGCTTCGAGATGTCGTCTTCTTTGCTACGCAATGCCTCACTCAAGCAGCGGGCCTGCTCCTGCAGCTTCCTCAGTCGGTTACTGCACAGGCAAACGTTATCATAGGCCGATACTGGCTTGTAGATTCGATGATGTCCAATGAATTTAGTGTGAGGAGCTGCAGTCTGGACCGATTATATTCCTTTCTCGGCAATGACCGCTGACACTCATTATCCAGGATGTTTCCGCTGCCGCAGTCTACCTCGTCGCCAAGCTGGGTCCCTCACCACGATCGCCCCGCGACGTGTCCAACGTCTTTGCCTATCTCCTCTCTCCCATCTCTTCGCTCTTCCGCGACACACCACCGAGCAATGATCCAAGCTCCTACTACCTAAGCGAATCGTCATACCAATCCTTCCACCGCCGCATGCTCGACCTCGAAGCTCGCATCCTGTACGCCCTGGGCTTCGACACCCACGTATCTCTACCCCACCCACTCGCCGTCACATATCTACAGGCCATAGAATTCCTAGGCCACCCCAAGGAGAAGATCTCGCCGAGGGTTGTGCAATACCTCAACACGGCCCTTCTCTCACCCCAGCTGCTATACCTGACGCACCAGCCGAATGCGCTGGCTGTGGCAGCAATCTATAACGCTGCCAGGGATGTCGGGGCTAAGATGCCCGAGTGTGAATGGTGGGAGGTGTTCGACGTCGAGAGGGAAGAGCTAGGATTCCTCGTGGTGGGGATGCGCAGCCTAGAGGGCTGGACGAGGAAGATGAGGGAGGATGTCCCGAGGCTTAAAGAGGGGATGGTAACTAAGTCAGTGATCGAGGAGGAGATGACGAGAAGAGGACTATTTGTCGGCAATGGCAGCGGGAACGGGTTTGCCGATGAAGAGGCAGAGATGATGCGCAAGATGGACGAGAGGATAGCCCAGATGGAGGCCAGTGCCTGATATGGGTTACGTTGATACCAATTCCAATGCCAAATAAAACGGGATGCCTTCCGAGACAGCTGTTTCATGGTCTTTGAAGCTGCAATGCTACTTCCAACGCTTCTCATCCTTTGTCGTCTGAGCAAGGATATATCCCGAGGCCAAGCTCACTCTCAGGCAGAGCTAGCCTTGTGTAGCAGCGCGACCCCATCCTTCCACTACTTCAATTGAACTACTTCAATTGAGCTCAGCTACTAGATCATGACAACTCACTGTTCAATTCACAGTTGACTAGGTGCCTACCTAGCGGGTTTACACATACATAAAGCGACTACAGGTGTTAGTGGATCAACTTGCCTCCAGCTTAATAATATCCAGAACCACGCTTACGGACCGAGGCAGTTGCATCATCCCGCCCATCCGCCCGCGGCGGGGAGGTGGGGTTAGGCCAACGCGCCTCATGATATCCCGGTATCATCGTGGGAGGCCATTGAGCAGTGTCCGGTGCGTTGTTAAACCTGTAATTCCATTGCAATTGAGGCCTGCTCGTAAGGCAATAGCCGTCACCCACAGAAGACTAGTTCTACGCAAGATGCCTCGTGCCCTCACAGTGAAGAAGATCGAGGGGGGCAAGCCGGGGCAGGTCTACTATCCGTGAGTCCCATCGCTTCCACATGTGCAACGGCAAATCTGACGAACCCCCACAGCCTCCGACTAGTAGATGTCCCCAAGCCCAGCCCCGGCCCCAATGAGCTCCTGGTGCGCATCTCGGCCGCGGCCCTCAACCACCGCGACCTGTTCATCCGGCAGCACCTGTACCCGGGCATCTCATTCGAGCACCCCCTGCTCGCCGACGGGTACGGCACCGTCATCGAGGTCGGCCCCGGCAGCAGCACGGCGGCCCAGTCCCTCCTCCACAGGGCGGTGCTGCTGACGCCGGCGCGCGGCTGGGAGGAGGACCCGGACGGGCCCGAGGACGCCGGGCGGTACAGCGTCATCGGCGGGACGGCCATGTGCGACGTGGGCACGGCGCAGGACTACGTGGTCGTCCCCGAGGACGAGGTCGTGCCCGCGCCCGAGCACCTGCTCCCCGCCGAGGCGGCCGCCCTGCCCCTGGTGGGGCTGACCGGGTGGCGGGCGCTGGTGAGCAAGAGCGGCGCCGCCGCGCCGGGCCGCAACGTGCTCGTCACGGGCGTCGGCGGCGGCGTCGCGCTGCAGGTGCTGCAGTTCGCTGTCGCGTTCAGGTGCAACGTCTTCGTCACGTCGGGCGACAAGGCCAAGATCGCGAGGGCCGTCGAGATGGGCGCCAGGGGCGGCGTGTCGTACAGGGCTAAGGATTGGGATAGGCAGTTGCAGGCGATTCTTCCCTCGGACCGGCCGTTCCTCGATGCCGTTATCGACGGCGCCGGGGGCGATGTGGTATCCAAGACCGTTAAGCTTCTCAAGCCGGGCGGTGTCATCTCGATCTATGGCATGACCGTCGGCCCCAAGATGGACTGGACAATGCAGGCCGTCTTGAAGAATATCGATCTGAGGGGCTGCACGATGGGCTCGAAGAGGGAGTTTCGAGACATGGTTGACTTCGTCAGGGAGAAGAAGATCCGGCCCGTGGTGAGCAGGGTGGTCAAGGGGTTGGGTAACCTAGAGGGCATCGATGGACTTTTCGAGGAGATGAAGGCGGGCAAGCAGTTCGGGAAGCTGGTGATTGAGATCTCACCCGAGGGCAGCGAGTCGCCCTCAAAGTTGTAATTTATACCTGGAGAGCCTCTGTATATATGATATGGGACAAAAGCACGCACTTGCACGTAACACTTGGGAGGCTTCGGAACCAGTCAGCATCATCAATTTGGCATTGACAGGATATCATTTGGTTTACAAGTTCCCTCATTCCGCATCTCCAGCCAGCCGATGGCTTCACTCGTGCGATACCTTCCGCTTCTTCTTCTTCGGCTTTGCGCCTGGTTCCTCGGGCGGCACAAACTCAAGTTCCCGCTCTCGCATCTTCTCCTCCTTCTTTTGTTTCGCCTTGTCCGCCCTCTCTGCCTGGACCGCCCTTTGCTTGGCTTCCTTCGCCAGGAAATACTCTCCACTCTCAATCTGCAGGTCGACCTTGCTCTTTTCCGGCGCAGGTGGGAAGGGGGTGTAGTTCTTCTTGCTCTTATCCTCGACCTTGTGCGGTACCCGTCTCTTGCTCAGACTCCTCTTCTTGAAGTTGGGCAGGTACCTGTCCCAACTCTCGTTGGCCAGGTTGGGGTCCTTGGCGAGCTCCCTCTTGATCATCAGTTCCTTGATGAGGTAGATGGGATGGACGTTCGCCATTGTGTCCTCGACCACCCTCCTCACCTCCTTGAGGCCCTTATACGGTCCCATGACCGACACTGTGTTTCCATGGACGAGTATGTATGTCTGGGTCAGGAGTTCCAGGGCCTTCAGGGTGCTTCCGCCGGGGCCCAGGATACGCTGCCGGCGCTTGACAAACCGCTCCTTATTCCCCACGAGATTCCGAATCTTGACGATGTCGCATGCAACGCCGTCTTCGAGGATTTTGAGGGCTTGTGGTGCTGGGACGCTTCTTGCGAGGAGCTTGATGAGGTCGCGGGCCTTGAGAATAGCGGCGGGGTCGAAAGTCTTTCTCGTCGTCTTGACCGTCATCTGACCCTCGACGAGATCTAGGGTGCAGGCAATGCCATGTTTTTGGAGAGCCCGAGTAACCAGCGGCCACACCTCTCTCAGGTAGACCTCTCGGTATTTGGGGAACAGAGTCGCGAAGGAGGACTCTTCAGCAAATGTGCCTCCAGCATTATCAGCAGGTGTGAATTCTTCGATTTTCCATTTGTCAATGTCGTCGGTGTCCCACGACTTCTCCTTATTATGCGTAGACGGCATTTTTCCAGTTGGCTTTTCGGCGGTTTGGATGAGGCTGGAGGCTAAGGTGGAAATTTTTGGCAGATGGAGAGTCCCAAGTTCTCTGCTAGTGAGGTGTGGTCAGTGCGGGTGGGGCGGTCAGTACGATACGGTTATCGCGATTGACTCCCATCGCCATGCGTTGAAGAAACTGGTCTTTGAAATAATGTTCAAGCCTTCGATGTAGGTAGGTTAGGTGCCGTCAGTACCTATACTTCTCGATATTGATGTTCCTGGCTCGATCTGAGATTAAGATCGGATACAAATGACTTTTGCGATCTTAGCCGTCAGTCAGCTGCTAAATTATAACACAGGACAAATATAGCTCTAGGTCGCGCCGCTTGGGCTTGGCACCCCTTGCTGTGAAAAGATTGTTAAGTTGCACAAGTCTTCATCCCGTACGGGGCTGCGACTTGAGCTGGCTGCTATTGCTGCTCTGCTTTTCGAATAGTTGGCCTCTCCAACACTCTGTTTGTCGTCCTCTTTCCCAACCAGCACATATCGTTATCGTAATGCTATTAGAGCCAGGAGCGCGGAAGCAACTTGGTCTTTTGTCTTAAATCCTGCCTATTTCAAGTCACTCGTTTAAACACACCGTGTCTCCTGGCATTTCATCTCGGAGCCTTTTTTGGTCGTTTTCCCTCGTTCTGAGCACCCGGCCCGAATTTTACTACCCAGGGACACGTCAGAGTCTAGTCGTCGCGATCTTTGCTTGACGTCTTGAACACAGTTCACAACACTATTGCCGTCTCACTACCCGCCTCAAACTACCACCACTTGAGTGATAATGGAGGACGGTCTGGAACTTCTTCCGCCTCCCACATCGCTGGAACCTATATCAAGACCGAGTTCGACGTCGACACAGTCTTCCGTGCCTCAATCGCTAGCACAACTGCCCAGCATTGTATCTTTAGCAACGGGCCCTTCAGTGGCAATCTCTCCCCAGCTCAGGTCAGTATCATCTACGCGACCGTGGAGGCGCCCCAATGAGCGAGCCCCTTAGAATGGTCGGAACTGTACCACACCTTTTCATGGGCAGTTGTGGTTGGATCCTGATTCCAGGTGGCGGCAGTAGCCTCAACTCGTGGACATTCATTGATGATGCATTTGCTAATGTGGCGGGTACAGAGCAACTAATCACCCTGGTCCAGTGTACTCTGGTTCCTCTCCAGCCAGTACTACTGGTCCTGGAGGAAATATTGTAAGTAGTCTTGTTTCTTGAGTTCCCTGCCGTGCATGCCTTCCTTCAGCCGAAAGCCCTGTAAATTGGGCGGGTTGCTTTTGTGAGCACCTCAAGTTGAGTGGGTGTGATATTTTTATATTTTTACCAAAGACGATGAGTAGATATGGCTGGCTTCTCATTGGCCGATTAGCCCTGGGTGGCTTATCGTCGGTTATGACTAAGCCCAGATACCCCGGAAAGGTCGTGCTATCAGCAGCCAGAAAATTTTCCCTCCCGAAAACCTCCACCGGGATTCCTTATCATCGTCCTTATCACTATCTCGATTCGTCCCCAGTCAACTTTCGTATCTTTCCCGTCCTTTAGTGTCATCCTCAATCACTTCTTTGCGCCCGACGCGAAAGTCGCCATCATGGCAACAATGGCTAATCATGATCGCCAAACCTCACAGCCAACATGCCAGAACTGCACTACATCGACCACGCCCCTATGGCGGCGCGACGACATGGGCTCTGTGCTGTGCAATGCTTGCGGGCTGTTTCTGAAGCTGCACGGTCGCCCGCGCCCCAGCTCTCTAAAGACCGATGTCATCAAGAGCCGCAACCGAGTCAAGACGATGCGACCGGACCTAGCCAAGCAGAAGAAGGTATGTTTGTCACTCCACAGCTACTCCGGCAATTGCGTCATTTGTTCCAACCATGCTGACCCCATGAAGCAAAGCCAGAACCTACCTGCGACCACGGAACCCAATGCCAATGGTGCTGACTTGACCGGTGCGAATAATGCAGGTCTAGGCGGGCGGAGAACATCAGGGAAGTCTGCGAACGGCCATCAAGACGACATCAACTCCCCCATTTCGCGAACCGCCACGCCCAGCATGTATACCGCCCACGGCATGCCTCTGTACCATGGCATGGAAGAGGCGCAATTCCAAGCCCAGTCGCTGCAGGGATTTCCCGTCCCTGGCGCCTCTCCAGGTCGCGCCGCATCGCCCTTGAACAGCGATCGCTTCGAGATCCCGCAAACCCACGAGTCGCTTATCGCCGCCAACGCGAGCCTGAAGACGCGTGTCAGTGAGCTTGAGGTTATCCAGGAGCTCTATCGCGGACGACTTCAACAGTTGGAGACGGACGAGGTCAGTGCGCGGCAATCGCAGGAGATCAGTGGTAAGACCGAAGCCCAGCTTCGGTCCCAGCTAGAGAGCGCCACTCAGATCGAGACACAGCTCCGCAATGAGCTCGAGGAAAGCCATCGCCGAGAGAACATGCTAAAGCGCCGTCTGGACGAACTCGAACTCGAACTTAAGGAGGCGAAGGAGGCGATTGAAAGCCCCGATAACGGCAGATTGGCCAAGAAACCTCGTCTAGACGAGGCGGTAGAAGCTGAGGATGTCTCGGCCCTGCAATCTGCGGCATAGGGAACCATGGTCCCGTTGACGTATTCCCTGGTCACAGGGCGAACTCGAAACGATGACATCTTCTCTCACCCCCGTCTCTGGTACCTGTTCATATCTGGTGGACATAATCGCGTGCCATGGAAACGGGGATCGCCATCGCTTGACCTTGTATTAGTATTTCATGTCCTTGTTGTCTGTTGCGGCCTGGTGTTTGTCTATGGAAAGGCGAAAAAAGAAAGATGGACTGGTGGTCTTTAATCGCGTTACGAACCTGGGTTTCCTTTTTCAAGCATCGCTCGGGTTCAGGAAGAAGGGTCCGACGCGGAAGGAAAGGGATGGCCTCCGGCCATACTCCCGAGGACAGGGCCTCCTGAATCTCGCTGAGCAAAAGGGCGAACCGAACGGATCACCTCAAATTGGTGATAATTTACGAAGCTTCGGCTACGATAGACCTGGTGGCTTGGACCGAGTGGCCGGCTGGTCCTTGGCAGGTTTTTGATGACGGAGTTTCCGGAGTACATGCGGTTCCCTACTCGGTAATATACGTGGAATGGAAAGCCAAAAGCTATATCCCGTATCGGTCCATTGGTACCAGATGTATCTAATGCCTGATGAAATGGCATGGCTGACGCGTTCGCCGCGCCCTTTTTTCAAGGAAGATGTTTGTCTTTGAAGTTCTCTGCGCCGATTTAATCCCCAAAGGCCCGGACAATTAATGACCCTCGGCGCGCTGGCATGGGCGATGATCATGAACGAGAGTATGTCGCGGGAGACTGACCGGATTGCCGTCAGAAGTCCGTGGGCAGACAGCCTCGAAGATGCAGATCAGTAAATAATATGCAGGTATCTGCTCACTACCGTGAGGTTCAAGTGGTCGCCGGTCAGCCACCTGATGCAGGCACGGGAGAGCAAGTTGTCGTATAGGCCCTCCGCGGTAAGCAGTTTGTCGCTAGGTAATTTTATTTGTTTCTCGGAGGTGAAGCAGAGACTCTATCCAGCCGCCGGGAGGGTCTATTGCTTTGGGCACACTACTTGGACGGCTGTTGGTCCAGAGGCTTGAGCCTCCACCTATAAATTAGGAAGTTATCAAGGAAGTGTCGGACAAGTTAACCTGCTGACTATGGAGGATCGTATCACCTGCCATTATAGACATGTCTTAGGTCTAGGTTTGTGCTCTGCTGTTGCTGCGGCATCTTTGGGTAGTGGTGATGCAAGGGCCGGCAGAGATACGGCCCTATACGTGTCTCAATGGCCCTGAAATTGACTCGCTAGGAAGTGGGAGCTGCTCTTTTGTTTTGTTAATGGAACTACTCGTCCGAGTGTTGGGGAATTGCGGTCTTCAACATAAGACTTCTTTTTTTGTGGAAAGCCCCCCAGCCGAACTCTGTTTAGGGAGGTGAATAACATCATCCTAACCTTAGCGAAGAACCGTTATGATGCTTCTCCTAAAGCAAGAGCTGTCGGCCATGATGCTCAATTGCAACGCGCCAGTGGCCGTGTTCTTGCATACCTTTGGACTCGGCTGTGAAACATTGTCTTACTGTGTGTGGCTTCTCCCTCCCTCCCGCTCTCTTCAGAGACGTGAGATCATCTTGCTCTTCTCCAGTCCAGCCTCTCCTTTCACGTAGCATCTTCGAAACTCAAAATGTCAGCCGTTATCTCGGAAAGATCTTACGCTCCTGCCGTCCCGTCGCCCTTGAACCCCGCGAGTTGCCGCATGAGCCGTCCCAGGAACTCTCGACGGGGCAGCAGGATCATCAACCGAGCCCACACGCCCCCGTTGACACTCAGCCCGACCCAGCGCCTCTTAAGGCAGAAGGCAGCGGCGGCGTGGAAGTCGAAGACTCTTCTCGCCGTGAGGGCACCCGAGCCAGAACCAGATCACCCAGACCAAGATATCCACGTCACACGGACGGGATCCGACGAGACCCGCGAGGAGATCCAGACGCATAGCAACGAGGAACGCCCAGCGATAGACCTGGAGAATGGGACGGGACTTCCCATACAGGATTCACACCCGGGCGAGAAAGGTCCTCTCGACGCCGATTACTGGGTCGACATGACGGGCGTTTCGGGCTACCTCACCCTGGGGCCCAGCGCCATGGGAGACATCCCTAGACAGCTCTCTTCTGGGCCACCCGCGTGGCGCGTCTTATTAGTCATTTGCCTAGCCAGCATCTTCAGTCTCCTCCCCGCCTTACAACGCCAATCAATCCTGTGACAGGCATCAACAAGTTCGTGGAATTCACACAAGGATATCGAGATCGAAGAGGGGGGAGAGGATCGCTTTCTGATTTTCAAGAGGAGTGAGCCGCGGTACGCTTAAGTGCCTTTTCAGAACCCAAACCGGGGTTATCAGGCCACCTGTTTATATCCTTGTTTGCACCCCGTACAGTAATATACATCGTCGTCGCTCAACATCGTCGGGATCTCCTTATGGGAGTCGTTATCTCATCTTCTTGTCATCTTGATCGGCCTCGGTATCGGAATTCGAGGCTGGGGTTTGGGTGGAACTGGCCGAGGCCTCCTTGCTGGCCTCCTCGTTTTGCTTCTCGATGGCGATCCCGACCTGCCAGATGGCTCGCTCGAGCTCGATTTCAAGCTGGGGGAGGTCCAATTCCTCCGTTATCCCTTTGCAGTTCTCCTGGGAAAGGAGCATGACCTCGCCTGTGTGATGATCAGGACCCAAGGCCGTGGACGTGCCGGTGTTCCCCAACTGCTCTGCTTCGGGACTTGTGGTGGGTTTTGTGGAGGCCCGCAAGGGATGCCTGTGGTTTGCGTATACAGCATCAAGAATTGGCGACCTCGTAAGTGTGAGGAGGTTGTTCTGCAGGAGGAATCGGATATGCTTGCCGCCGGACAGGGCACGCCAATGCGACCAAGCGCGGTAGACGAGATAAAAGAATGGGATGTTGGGGATCCTTATCAAGGGAATCAGCATCCAAGCATCATCATCTCACAGTCTATGACCCGTAGAGACTTACAAGGGAATAAGCGCAACCGGCGCCGTGATAGGCATGCCGACGAAGCACCATATCAGTTTTCTCCGGTGCAGCGTTTCCCTCTCAGTAGCCAACCTCCCCAGTACGTCGCCAACCTTGCTGGCGGGGATCAGGGTCTCTGGATAGATGACCTCGACCTTATCTGTGCCGTTCAACTCCTCCATCCTCCGCCTCTCTGACAAGGGAGGAACGGATTTGAGGCCCCACTCCTCATATGGGATCCGCCTAAGAGCATGGTTTCCGTATTTGACGACCGACTTCTGCCAGCCCCGATCCCTCTTCTCCCAGCCTGCCCAAGTCTTGGCGACCCGGCTCTGGATCTTTTCCGACCATGTTTGCCTTTCGGACTTGCCGACGTCGAGGCGATGGCAGTATAGGAGGGTCCGTCTCGTAGAGATTGGGACGAGGTAGAGTCGCATCGCGGTGGCCGTCGAGCTCGCCGTGGTTGATGACCGAAACTTGCGGAGGCTCACGGCAAAATCCTGGGTTCTCAAGGGGGTAGAGGTGTCCCTTCTATGAGCGCGCACGGTGGCGGGGAATATTCATCTTCAGAAATCGATCGAGATAGAACATGCGCGGCGTTGTAATTGTCGCAGTGGTTCTGCCCCGGGAAGCTGGAAAACGCTAGCTTTGCACATGCATATTTAATATAAAAGCCGAGACTCCAGCAGACTCTGGGTGGGCGGGCAGTGACGCAAATGTCGTCATGCGTAATGTTAAAAGTCCGCGCTGGAATTGGGCTGCGTTTTGTACGGCGGGCTGTAGAGACTAGTGAGCACCATGGCGCTACGTCACAAAATACCGACAATTTAGTTGAAATAGATGTGCCAATCAATAATGGCTGGAAGCCCCTACCAACTTTCATACTCCAACCAGTAAGCGCCGTCTAGCTTCGCCCATGTCCCACCCTTTCAACGGGGAATACACAAGGCTCAGCCAGCCTTAAAAACCCCTGTCTTCCCCTGGGCTCGGCAGATCATCTTGTGTTTTCTTATCAATTTATGTTGCCGTTACACGCTTCACGAATCCGTCCCATGACCAGGTGGGGATACAACTTTGTTTATGTTCTTTTACATTTATTCCGCCCTTACCTAGGTAGAGCAGGGAGTGGTTGATAAGCATTTGGTAGCGACCACCTCTGTGGTATTTCCGTTCTTTACGGATTGTGCTACCTCTTGATCATGCGTTGACAAGCCTGCCGAAGCCAATTCTCTGGATCTTATGTCACGCATCGGCGTGACGTGGGCATTAGCTAGTCACGATGACTGCTTTTGCTCCAGACGCAACCCCTCCAGGCACTCGCATATCTGTCGCAACAGGAAGCACAGCGGTCGATAGCCATGGGGCCCATCACCGAGCGCCTAGGTCGCTACCCCGTAAGTGTATCGTTGGTAGCCCCCGAGTTACCATATCGCTAACTCTCTGCAAGCTTGGATTGGGTCCTACGAGGTACGACGAGGAGAAACACCAAACGTCGATGAATTACTATTCAACCGACCCCCTCCCCGGGCAGTCCAGGCCCACCACAACAATACGCCGTCCTCACCCCCGGTTGCGAGGAGGGTTTCCAAGGATGGCTATATCGACATGTACGACGACTCCCGGCTGCGGGCGGGGAAGAGACCGAAAGTCACGCTACAAAGCCTACTGCAAGGCAAGAATGGGCCGATGAGGGGGAGGAAGTGGGATCATCTCCGCTCAGCCGAGCCCGTCATCGTGTCCGGCTATCTCGCCTCGAAGCCCGGTTCTCCGTGGCGGAGCTTTGTCCGATCCTCCGAGTACGGCCACCTCCCGAACGAAGAGGCCGAGATTGTGGGCGTTGACATGCTGGATAAGCTTCAACCAGGGTTTAATGACCCCGTGCACATCCCGCGGTTTCCCGACTTGGAAAAGACACGGCGTGCACGCACATCGGCGGTCTATAAGCGGGCCTGGAACATCATCCTCAAACACCCCCTGGTGCCGCTCGCCTTCCGACTGACTGTCCTGCTGACGTCGATAATCGCCCTGGCCCTCTCTGTGCGTATATACGAGATTGAAAACGTCGCGGTAGACTCCAGCGCAGAGCGGACGCAGGCGATCGTGGCCATCGTGGTGGACACGCTGGCGATTCCATATATCGGCTACATGACGTGGGACGAGTATACTGGCAAGCCACTCGGCCTACGGCCTCCGACTGAGAAGATATCGCTGATCCTTATGGATTTGTTCTTCATCATATTCAAATCTGCGAGCACGAGTCTGGCGTTCGAGGCGCTGGTTTATCACAACAGCCTCCAGGCCAGTGTGCGATACTACTCCAGGGCGCTTAGTGCCTTCCAGACAGTGAGCCTGATATCATGGACCATGAATTTCACTGTAAATGTATTCCGGTTAGTGCAAAAGCTTGGCGGCAGCGACGAGGAGGGTGCTGCTCATATGTGGGGCGGCCATGGGTCCGTCTGAGAATACCAACATTGCTGTATAATATGGAAGACGGCGTTCCTCTGCCCAAGGGCAGTATTAGTCCGATTTAGTCACTACCTACCTAACCGATGTATGTGCTCCGGTGATGGTGACTGCGACGCTACGCTGATGCCACTTAGATCGGACGCATGATACACCACCCGATAGCACTGACTACCGTAGCTACCTAACCTTAGGTACCGTACCTATATCTCTTTCGGTCAGGTGCCGGACTCATTGGCTGTCGGACCTCAAAGTATGGAGCTTTAAAAACAGCACGAAAGTAGGTTTGCACCAGCCTTAAAACAGTCTCCAAGCTTCCATTGTATCTCCTCTTAACCTAGCTGCGGCTGCGCGTGCTCGGGCCAATCATGCGCCAGTGGAGGGTTTAAGGCGGCAAAACTGGGCCAGTTAAAGTTGGTAAGTAAGCCCAGAAATCTGTCAGCCTGCCGCCGTGTCGCCTGCCCCGGATCAGCCAGCCGTCCATCAAAATCCAAGGCAGGCGAACCATACTCTTCAACCTAAATTTACCAGACTCGACCAAGGTATTTGAATACCGTACCCATTTTTCCGGCGTGATCCTTCGAACGCTTTTTGCACCTGCGCCAGGCGCGACCTCTACCTTCCCAAAGGCAACGATTCCCGCCACACACCGGTCCTTTTCTCCACAACCCACCGTCCTGCCCAGCAACATCGGCCAAGAGCCACCGACCGACTTTAAAGCTCAAGCACATCTTCTCGTTAATTTCTCCTCAGGCTACCTCAGTCGTGGCGTGTCATCCCAGACCGCTTCTTGCCGCGCGTCCGTCTGAGCCAGCAAGGCCCAGACGTCCCTCGGATACCAAACATGGTGCCAGCTCTGCGATCGGGGATGCCATCCCAACCCGACCGTGATGACATCAACAAGACGTGAGTCTGCCCGAAAAGAGACACATTTTGGACTTCAACCCTAACTAGCTCCAGCTGGCTGTACCTCCAGGACGGCATCGACCGCATCATGGACAACTTGCAGGATGGCATCGACATGCAGACGGTATGGCCATGTCCTATCTAATCTATATATTCCAGGACAATGCTAATCACCTGGCGCTTGCAGTACATGGGAATCTACACGTGAGCTCGGCCTTCTCGGTGACGACCAGGGTACCCATTAATACTGACCGTCTGGCAGGGCTGTTCACAACTTCTGTACCTCACAGAAGGCCGTCGGATTCACTCCACACCAGAATATCAGTACGGGTGCCCACCGTGGAGGTTTGTAGCACTGCCGGGCGGTTCCCTTGCACTTAACACTGTTGGCTCACTTTTTGATAGCTCACCTTCTCGGAGAGGACCTCTACAATAAGCTCATCGATTATCTGACGCGCCGTTTGGAGAAGCTTTACGAAGAATCCAGATCCCATACCGATGAGGCTCTACTGGCCTTTTACATCAAGCAATGGAGCCGTTACACGGTTGCCGCAAAATACACCCACCACCTCTTCCGCTACCTCAACCGGCATTGGGTGAAGCGTGAGATGGACGAAGGGAAGAAGCACATCTACGACGTCTATACTCTCCATCTGGTCCAGTGGCGCACTGTGCTGTTTTCAAAGGTTTCGGGAAGAGTTATGAACGCGGTCCTGAAACTCGTGGAGAAGCAGCGCAACGGCGAGACTATCGAGTACGGCCAGATCAAGCAAGTTGTCGACTCCTTTGTCTCCTTGGGCCTGGACGACGCCGATCCCTCGAAGACGACCCTCGATGTATACCGGTACCATTTCGAACGCCCCTTCTTGGAGGGCACGAGAGAATTCTACATGGCCGAGAGCAAGCAATTTGTAGCCGAGAATAGCGTCGTCGAGTACATGAAGAAGGCCGAGGCCCGCCTGGACGAAGAGGAGGAGCGGGTGAAGATGTTCCTGCACGCGGATATAGCGATTCCATTGAAGAAGGCCTGTAACCAGGTCCTCATTGCCGACCACTCCAACCTCCTCCGCGAGGAATTCCAGGGCTTGCTGGATACCGACAGGGAGGAAGATATGGGGCGCATGTACAGCTTACTTGCGCGGATTCCTGACGGCCTGACTCCTCTCCGGCAAAAGTTCGAGGCCCATGTGCGGACCGCGGGTCTGGCAGCGGTCACCAAGGTGTCCTCGGATGCAGAGAAGCTCGAGCCAAAGGTCTACGTGGACGCTCTGCTTGAGATCCACAGCCACTACCAAAACCTTGTCAAGAAGGCCTTCAGCGACGAGGCAGAGTTCACCAGGTCTCTGGATAATGCTTGCAGAGAATTCGTCAACAGAAATGACGTGTGTAAGTCGGGGTCGAACAAGTCACCCGAGCTCTTGGCCAAATACACCGACATCCTCCTTCGCAAGGGCGGTACAGGCATAGGAGAAGCCGAGTTGGAGAATACTCTCACACGGATAATGACTGTCTTCAAGTACATCGATGACAAGGATGTCTTCCAGAAGTTCTACTCGCGTATGCTTGCACGGCGACTTGTGCATAGCAACTCGTCCTCGGACGACGCCGAGACCAGCATGATCAGCAAGCTGAAGGAGGCTTGCGGTTTTGAGTACACCAACAAGCTCCAGAGGATGTTCCAGGATATGCAGATATCCAAGGATCTGAACGCCGGGTTCAAAGAACACACCCAGGGCTTGGACAGCAAGGTTCTCGATTCCCAGTACTCCATCCTTGGCACCGGGTTCTGGCCGTTGACGCCCCCAAACACGACCTTCAACCCGCCGATCGAGATCTCGATGGATTGCGAGCGGTTCTCACGATTCTACAAGAATAAGCACGAGGGCCGGAAGCTTACTTGGCTGTGGCAGCTCTGCAAAGGTGAAGTCAAGGCGACCTACTGCAAGAACACGAAGACCCCCTACACCTTCCAGGTTTCTCTGTATCAGATGGCCATCCTCCTTCTGTTCAATGACAAGGACCAGCACACTTATGAGGATATTGCGTCGACTACACAGCTCAACGCCGACGCGCTGGATCCATCTCTCTCCATCCTATGCAAGGCCAAAGTACTCATCCCGAAGCCCGACGGCGACAAGGTTGGCCCGGGCAAGACTTTCCGCCTAAACTATGACTTCAAGAGTAAGAAAGTCCGAGTAAACTTGAACGTCGGCATGAAGTCGGAATCGAAGCAAGAGGAGGTTGAGACGAACAAGACGATCGAGGAAGACCGCAAGCTTCTTCTACAGGTACGTCGGATTTTGTTTCTGGGGTTCTTGACCATAGCTGACCCTGTCTTTCTAGTCTGCCATCGTGCGTATCATGAAGGCGCGGAAGCGCATGACTTATCAGCAACTCCTTCTCGAGACTGCGCATCAGATCCGTCATCGATTTGTGCCACCAGTCGCGGATATCAAGAAGTGCGTCGAGATCCTCCTCGACAAGGAATATCTCGAACGACTCGACGACGACGAACTCGGTTATCTGGCATAGACAGACTGCTTTTTGACGTGGCCATTGCGCGTTTCCTTTGCTCGCGCTCCCTGAATATGTATCATCTTCTCAGAACTGCTTTCCCTCCCGGCCGCCCCGTGTCTAGGTCTGCATCACCCTAACCCGCTCAGCATAGAGTCATAGACGTGAGCTTGGCGGGGCCCGTGGCCTTGGAACTCGAGACAAAGGGTAGCCTGGTTTAGATCGTTGCATTATTTCGAATACTCCTTGTGCAGGATATTCAAGACGGTAGCAGGGAATCGTATATGTTTATTTCCAATGACGATCTTGGGGGGGAACGAGCAAATAGGGGGCCCGGGGGGACGGGGGGGGAGAGGGTGGAAGGATGGGATGGAGAGCATGATTAGTTGGATGCTTTTGAACAACCTCGGTGGATTGGGCCAAGACGAGGCTTTCAGGAGTTACTTGTCTTTGCCAGGGCCCATCAGTACAGGCAGTTTTGGTGAGCAACCTTCCCGAACCTCGATTCGTCCCAGGACCGGGCGGCATCGAGAAGCAATACGAAGAATCCAATTCAAACGACTTCCAACTTTTCTTGCTTAATTTTGTTTCTTGTGATATGAAAAATTCCCAAGCTAGCCTGTACTCTCGAAGACTAGGTCCTTAATCCACGGGCATGGTATAAAGCTGCTCATGACCATGCACCGCACCGGTCCCATTCTTATCCAGAGGCCTATCTATGTATATGATATAGCCTGCAGGCTCTCCCTGCTTGCGTTGTTGACCAGCTCAGATTCAACCATCATCCCTAATCCAGATCCAGTTCATGTGAGTTGCCAAATCTAACCCTGAACCCCACCAAGTAGCGTCGACACGGGGGCGTGCACCAGAGTCAAGTCACGTTCCGAGTCTTGGACTCCCAATGTAGAAACGAGGCAGCGTCATGTCATGCATGGTATGTGTGAAGAATGATATTCATCTTCCCCTTCCTTCCTCTCTTTTTCGGGCCTGTCTCCTCTGGCTCGAAATAGATACACCGGCGCCGTTCCATGGCAGACCAGTCGCCACGCCTTGTCTCCTGTTAGATAATTTGTGGATGTATGTGTAGGTATCGTACGACATAAGGAAGATCGCTGCTGCGTGGGATTCGCGAATTGAGCTCCCTCGGCGAGATAGGGCCGTTGTTGAACTACGCCAAACCAGTGTCCATCTTCCCGAGATAGGTAGCCAGTCATCCCAGCCAATACTCCGAAGGAAATCAAACTAAACACAGGTATTTTCGATGCCTCTGCTATCGAAGTCCCCCCAAGTCAGGCAAGTTTGCCCAAGTGCAGAGTGCAAGCCCAGTCTCCATCCTGAGGTAATAAAGAAGAGTAGAGTCAAGGACACAAGCAAAGAAAAGAGTCATCGCTAATTCCCAGGGCGAAGATCGAGAGCGAAGGTCGGCCAACGCCAGTAGCAAAACCGTTAGTACCCCAAACGCCACGTGATGCTCTTCTTAATCGCAGCTCAAAAGACCCCGGTGGGAGTCATTAATGGTATCGAAACCGTGAAAGCGCCGAATGAACCGTAACCTCAGGACATTCACAGAATACCAGAATCCTTGAGGGCATTATTTAAGATGGTCTCCTTCACAGCAGCGAAGACCAGACGGATGTTTGAGGTGTTTGTCGCCTGCGTCAGACTAAGGAAAGTTTGGTCAGCTCCTTGGTTCGGGTTGGCAAGTCTGGGGGTATCGTCGAAGCTTACTGAGGATAGAGATTCAGGTGAGCGCGGTTGACCTGGTTGAATCTCCAGAGAAGGTATTTGGCAGCCTTGTTGACGTCATTGCCGCCGGAGTAGTCTGGGAAGTAATTCCCTAGTGGTGACCTGGAGAGCTTCTGCTTGAAGATATCCACCTTGTTCAGGAAGAGGATGATGCTGGTCCTCATAAACCATCTCGAGTTAACGACCGAGTCGAACAAGAGCAGGCTCTCCATCATGCGGTTCTGCCCATCCCCGTCAGCTACGTTGTCTCAGACTCGTGGCTGCTCTGCCAAGACTCACCTGGCTGCTCTCTTCGAGTAAGACCTGATCATACTCGCTTAGCGCCACGCAGAATATGATAGACGTGACGTTTTCAAAGCAGTGAATCCACTTCTTGCGCTCACTCCTTTGCCCTCCAACATCGAACATGCTAGTTGTTTCTGCGTCAGACAACAGGCTCGTCCCGACATTCCGGCGCAGAAAAACTTACTGTATGCTCAACTGCCCCATTTGGAACCTTGTCTCGTAGATACCGGTTGTTTTTGTTCTGGCACGTAATACATCCATCTCGTTGGGGAGGTAGTCGGGCCTGACGATCCTCTCGGCCTCCTGGAAGAAGCTGCACACATAGGTTAGCTTGGGGGAACCAAAGGGCACACCATATAGCAGCCGGGTCTCAACGCACTACTCGGCCGAGTCCATCAAGTAAAACTCGGTCTGCCGTTCCATCAACAGGTCCTTGGCAGGGTCGTTCCATATTGACCTTACTGCCTCTCCGACCTTTGGATCTATCATGGCCTGGGGGCCTGATTCGACGGTGTAATTGAGGATGAACTGGCAGCACGGCTTGTTCTCCTCTATCACGGGCTCGATCTCGAACTGTTGCATGGCATGGATGACGGCTTTTGCGCATTCGATCAGGTTCTTAAACACGGTGGGTCGGTAGTTGTAGAGCTCATCCTCGGAGTATCCTTTCAAATGTATGATTTTCATCTGCTTAACGATCGTCGACTTGCCGCTCTCGCCGGAGCCTATACGGTTGGTTGATTTAGCATACGGCTTCGAAGTAGGGCCTAGCAGCCCGGGATCCGGTGTACATACCGAGCAGCAGGATCTTGCATTCTCGCCGTAACCTCTTGGAGTCCTCCTCGAGCTCCTTGTCAATTTTCTGACTGATTTTCTTGAGCTCCGCCTCCTCACTGCTGGCACTCATACAAAGGCCCATGTTGGACAGTAACTCGAGGCTCGAGCAGGAGCCAAGGAAGGTTGGGTGCGTCAGGGGCGGCCAGATCCGTGGCAATTGGGGCGCAAAGGGAATCGCCGATTCGATACTCGCTTGGTGAGGAGCCTGGGCTAATACCCCATGGGAGCGACGCAGTACTGTTGTCAGCGGCACACTGGCGGAAAGTGCCCGGCCTGCGGGCGTTGTCGACTACACAACAGCGAGGCAGTGCCAAGGCGGGCTTTGCAGTTGTAGCGACTTCTATCCCAAGGGGGGGGGGCAAGACTCCGGTGGAGTTGCCGGAGTTGGGATCCGGCAGGTCTAGAAGGGCCCGACAAGTAAAAATGGAACCGTGGACGAAGCGACGGAGAGCGATTGTCCTTGAACCTCCAGAGGCGATTGCGGGCGATGCCGTGGGGCAGAGGCAAGTGGAGAGAGAACAAGGTAATCGGTGTGGGAACAAGCAGCGAGGAGGGACTCGGAATGCTGAGGCTAAGGTTTGCTCTGCGATTTTGCCAAATGAGGCGGATTTCAGATTCTTTGTTGCCTGAGTGCAGGTGACGACGGGCAGAAGGAGCTGGGGGAAGACAGGACAGCAGCATCCATGATATCCGCCCGGCTTACTGGGTTGGTAGGACTGGTGGTAGAAGCGGAATATGGCGCTACCATTGGATTTGGGACCAGCAAAACCACCACCAGATACCTGCGCATTGGCGCCGGGTGCGGTACAAAACACAAGTAACTTGGACGGGCCCGTGCATGATTTCATTAGTCCCATTTCGTTACGCAGCAGCTACGCAGGATCTCCGCCCTGTGTGGCTGCACTAAACTCTTGGGGCTAGCAGGCCTCTAACACACCGAATTGATCAGTGGCCGGCCTCCCAAGCGCGCCTCAACGAATAGTATTCCTGCAATAACTATGCCGATCAATGTCGCTATTTTGCCTCCTTTGTCGTTTTATGGCACACTATGAGCTATGCAGCAGAATAAAATGTAGACGGATTGTTGAGACATCTATTGTTGGCCGAGTCAAGTTCAGCCGTGAACTGCTATTATTAACCTTTCCGATGGAAGCAGTGGTCAACCTGGGGAAGCGGGGGCGTGCTGGCCCCGGAAGACGGATCCGGGCAGCTCTCTACCCTACCATGAACAGGTTCTTCCCATGATGGAAACAACTATTTGAGACGGCCGCTAGCTGGACCGGCGATCACTTTGTCCCAATGCCTGCATCCATCAATCGCTTCCTCTGTACCTCGAAGGAGGTCGATTCGATTGTTATGAACTTCATTTCATTTATTATTTTAATTTTTGTTTTCGACAACAGCCGCTATTTCCAACACCATCCCCACAAAACTTAAACAGGGCGTTGCCTGCTTTGGTAGCTGTCCGGAAGGTTTCCTAGTGTGAACGGTAGCACAGACTGCCGTCTGATTTGCACGGATCGAATAGGAAGTTAATCCCTAGGTAGCCGGGTTGCGTGTCCCATCCGCGAACAGGAACCGACCAGGCCAACCCGGCCATTTTCAGCGCCACGTCCAGCGTCCCTTGTCTGAACTTCGTATCTAGAAATGACTCGGCGGCACACTCCTCGAGGAACGTACGCTGGCGCAGGGGAAAGCAGACAAAACATATCGCTTGCCACGTTGCAATTTTGAGCCACGTTGCAATTTTGAATCTGATGGAAGCCCAGCTCCCCCCCGCGATCGCTCCCCGCAACCACGTGTCGTGTCTACGACTCCACATGCCCATGTTTTGTCTTTGCAGCAGAAACTGCATACCTGGGGTATTTTCTTTCGTCCAAACGCCCAACTGGTCGCGGTCGAGCCCCTGACATGTACTCAATGTCTTGGCGTATCAAGAGCATTTCTTTGTCTCTAATTCAACGGCCACCTCCTGTACATACCTATCTATCCACCTAGCCCGCTACTAGGGCTCTTTTCTGTTAGAGTTACGGACCACTCAACTAGGTATTAGCTAAGCACCAGCTAAGGGTCGTACAACGCCGGCTGTTCCAGACGGAGAGCTCCCAAGGCAGCAGCTCTGGTCTGTACTTGGCATGGTACCTGGTATTGCCTGCCTAGCCCCTCGGTACCTGAATACTTCTACCATAGAATCATAGAACTTCCAGAAGGGGCACCTCGAGGCTTCGACTGTTTGGACTTGTTTCCTCTCCCGGCAATCATGCAGGCAGCCTTGGCAGCTTCCCGATTCAAGTGCCGGGTCCGAGTGACCCCGGCTACCGGGGTAGGTGATGCAGTCATTAACCAAAGGCTGTTGAATCCATCGGGATTAGCTAGCGCGCGGAAGATGTGTCTAGGTGCTCCAGACAAGCTATATTCGCCACTCACCCACAGCTCCCTAGGTAGGTAGGTAGTCGGGCCGTAGTCACCTTCGCAGGACGCAGTACATGAATCAAGACACCTACTCCGCCAGATAAGGCAGTTGCCTCCCATTGCCAGCCTGGGTAAGCCTAGGGTTACCATCCTGCAGGGTGCTCGAGTCACGTTAACCAATGAGCTGCCCGATACTATCTGAGACGCAATCAAGCTTCATCGTCCTTCTCTCGTCCCAACTTCACACACATATCTGCTTTCCGATGACAGAATAGAGCGAGTTGCAGGTATGCGTCTTTCTAGAAGCCTAGGGAAGCCTGGACTTTCCTGTGGGCGGTCCGCGTCAGGAATGAAAGTTGGGAAGGGGAGGGGTGGTTGACAAATAGCATGACCCGGATCTCGTAACCTTACACTCCAGACACCACCGAGTTAGCCGCAAGTATGTTCGATATATGAGAATCTCTAGAGGTGCTTGACTACAAGCCTGAGTAGAGGAGTGTCTTCCCAACAGCTCACTCAACCCCAAGTAGGTAGTTTCTCCTGACCTCTTCTCGCATGGCCACGCATCACGTAACATACCTGACGATCGGAGCACTCTCTCATTGTCCAAATCCTGGAGTATTCCCGCAGGCACAGCGAAAGAGACGGAGGTCCCTATTATAAGACACATTATTGCCCCGGTGTCCTGACTTCAAACGAAAAGATGCATGCCACTTTCACATAAATTCCGCACACCGATGCCTCGACTTCCAGACACATTTCCCGCCAAATCGCAACCGAAGAACCAAAAAGTCTTTCATGTATCCGATTGCTCACGCCATGCTATTTGTATATAAATGTATATATCAACATATACAAAACCCCCCAACCCCCCCTCCCTAACCCCCCTCACAGCACAGCAGCCCTCCCCTCCGCCGTGGCCGAGTCTTCGTCCGCCCCACCCTCGGACACCCCCGCCGGTAGCGCGCCATTCTGCGCCCCCTCCGCCGCAGAGCTCCTCCTCCGCTCGGCGGCGGCGGAGAGCGGGCGACCCCTCGGCGACGCCGGGTGCGACTGCGACGACGTCGTCGTCGGGCTGTCGGGCCCCGACACCCCGTCCAGCAGGCTCTCGCCGAACGAGCCCTGCGTGAGCGGGCGCCTCGCCCCGCCGTCCGCGTCGTCGTAGTCGTCGTCGTCGCGGCGCAGCGACGGCGAGGCCATCATGGCGGCTGAAGACGTTGAGTAGCGGGGGCTCGAGGCGGTCTGCTGCGAGAAGGGCGACCTCGGCAGCTCCTTTTCCGTATTGCCGCCGGCGCCGGCGCCGCCATCCGGCACGCTGGCGTAGTAGGAGCTTCGACCCTTATTGCTCTTGCCCCATCCCGATCCCCATCCGCCTCCGCCGTTCCCGCCGCCGCTGGCGCCGCTGGATGATCGGCCCCACCCGGCGGCCTTGCGCTTCTCTCCCGCCCACGCCGCCCAGCTGTTCATGTACGCCCCGGCCCTGACGCCGACGGACTGTGCCGTCTGAGGCGCCCTGGTGAGGTCCACCCCCGCTGCGCCACTATACCCGGCGGCGGCGGCGGCGGTGGCGTTTCTGTCTTCCTGGCCCCCGGCACTACCGGGACCACCGTTGCTTTGCTGCTGCTGCCTCGCCTCCTCGGCCCGCTTGCGCTGCGCCTCTCGGAGGGCCTCCATGTCCGCGTACAGCTTGTTGAATATGGTGCTGGCCTTCTCCTTGCCGGCGGCCAGGTTCCGGCCGAGCACCTCCTTGCCCTGCGCGAAGCGCTCGTCGAGGTGGAGGTCCTGCACCTGCTGGGCGATGCGGCGCTGCACGTCGTCGATGGTCAGGCCGCCGGCGCATGGGTGCCTGGGCTCGACGATGTCGAAGAGGTTAGATTCCGTGTTAGCGTTCCAGATGCGGTAGTTCTCGGTGCGTGTCCAGGCGTCGACCCAGTCCGGGCCGAAGTCGTGAGACGGGTCGCCCTCGATGTGCGGCAGGACCATCCTGGGGTTGCTGCCGTGCTTCGACAGGTGGTCGTGGTACTTGACCGAGGATATCAGGGAGAGGAGATACTCTTCAAACTGGAGGCGGATGAACTCCTCGCTGCCTACGTAGCCCATGGTCTTTGGCCGGCCAGGGTTAGCGTCATCCCAGGTATCGTTAACCTCCTGGGTGATGAAGTCTATCCATCGCCGGTCCGCAACTGATAACTGCAAGGCTTGCCTCAGGGAGGCCGATGTGATGTTGATCGAGTCGTCGTCGAGATTTATGAGAATATCGCTATATCGATCCCTTTGTTGGAGCAGCAGCGAATTGGTGCTTCCAACTATGTATGACTTAGTTCCAAAGTCGGCGAGCACGTCTAGCTGCTGTAGTGGAGTGTAAGGCCCAAACAGGCTCCCCTGGAAACACCGTCAGACCCGCAAGAGCCACAGAAACTAATGTTGGTCCGGGGGGATCAAACAAGCCGCTGTGTAAAAACAGCCGTGCCGCTATCTTACGCACCTTGCCAAATATTTGGAGAGGCAGCCCCATGTACGATAGCAGAGAGTTCCGGTCACTAGTCCTCAAGCTCGTCGGCTTCGTCAATTTCCTCTCGTAGTTGTTCAATTCGGGACCAGCACAGTCCTGGAGGTTTCGCAGAAGACCAGGTATTAAAGATATTAAGGAAAACTGCATCATGCATAACCGCTCGCACCGCGAGCCGAAGAAAAGCATCTATAAATCTAGTAAGTCGAACCGTTCTTCTCGCACGAAACCTTGAGAGCAGTCGGGCGGCGTTGAGGCAACGGTAAAAGACAGGCATGTAAGGGCGGGTTGCCAACTGACCTTGGGTTGTAGCAAGCAGCACTTCAGCAGCACCAGTGTCTGCCAACGGAACTCGCGCACCAGCTCCCTCAGGCTCATGCCTAGGTACTGGTCCCTGTCCTCGTCCTTGTTCAGGGCGCCGCGCTCGCGCTCCTCGGCGAGGCTCTCCTGGAATCGGCGCAGGATCTCCGTGTCGCCGAACTCGCGCTGCGCGAACCACGCCTGCGTCACCACCCCGAGGCTCTCCCGCAGCAGGCCAAAATACTGCGGGCTGTCGGCGATGACCACCACGGCCTTTTGCACCGTCGACCGCGTCACCTCGGCCGGCCGCACCAGGAGCTGCGAGGCGTCCATCTGCCGGGTGCACGATATGCCGAAGAGGGACGTCGCGGGCGCGTCCGGCCCCGCCGGCCGCAGGAGGGTGAAGTAGGAGAAGTCTTCGGTAGATCTGCGGCACCCCCGGAGGGGGAAATTGGGTTAGCCCTTTTATCGGGGTTGAATGGTCACTCGGTGCCCCAAGCCCGGCAGCATCGCGGCCGTTGCGGGGGGAGGAGAGAAGAAGGGACTCTGAACTTACGCATGTGCCCCGTCGCTCAATGCCATGAAGGGGAGTAAAGTCCAGTCATAATCGGCTGCGGGGTCGCTCCCTTCAGGGACGCCGAACCATTTCTCGACCTCGGGTCCTCGCGCATGGTGGAAGTCGACGACGGAAACCAAGGGGGTAAAGCCCGGGGCGGACCCGCTCGTGGGTGTGGCAGGAGTCGACATGGCGTGAGTCCCTCCCTGTTTCTGCTAGCCTCGCTCTCTCTGTCTCTCTCTTTCGTGTGGGTGTTTTGAGTCGTTGCTAGCTTGAGCTTCCCTCGGCGTCGCCAATGGGTCTCGGTAAGGATGCCATGAACGGCCAAATAGGGCCAATGCCTAGAGAAACAGCGGCATATCTGTCACCAGTAGAGGAAAGGGCGAGATTTAGGGCTCCTGGTTCCCCTATTAGACCGTTGTGCTTGCGCTAAAGTTGAGGCTCAACCTCAGCTTGACCCGCTGGCTTAAGTCCAATTTTACTTTGGTACAGAAACCTTCCTATAACGATTAACTGGACGGGTAAAATTTGTATATATATATATAGGAATATTGGGAATAGCAATAATTATTTCTTTGCGCACACCGCTCCCATGACACGGATTACATAACTAAATCGTCACAGCATGCAAAACGCGGCTTTCGATCGAGCATGCAGGCAGCATTTGAGGCTCGTTTCTGTGCTTCATAGGGATTTAACCTCTCCTCTCCACCTGTTTTTGTATTCTTAACTTGGATCAGCGGGGAGACAGCTACATTGGCTGCCCAACCTAAAAAGCTGTGATCCCCCAGCGAGAGCCTCGAAAACAACGACAGGAACTGTTAAAAGTAATCTGCTGGGACTGATCGCACATGCAGGCAGAGCGGGAGCAATACACAGCCTCGGGCGGGTTGTGCTAAACTATATCGGACAGCTTTTTGCACCAATTGTGTTCTGGGTTGCCGGCCAGTTGCAGGAGCAGCCATACCAAAATCTGTTGCCACCCCAATCTACTTGGCAAGGGAGCCGGCAGCCAATTCAATTGATGATACGGTCGCCGGCTGCTTATTGCTCATGCAATGCAAGACACGCTGGCAGGTCAATGGCAGGTAAAGATGCCCCGGTTGCAAGAGCACCTTTCTCCTCCCGAGGATTCTATTAGCTGGTCGGTGTGATCGCCCGCAGCGCGTGGTCCAATCGATTCAGAGAATGGTAAAATCTCGAGTCGTGCGGCGGGAAGGCGAGTCTATAAAGAGATGGGATGAAGTGATGTTGCAGGTCTTTTTTTCGTGTTCAACATAGGGAGCATATACTTGCTGTCTTCAATGCGATTATAGGAGTAGGAGTTATGCCATATATTCCTGTAACCATGTAATCATCACCCAACCTGCAGGCTGACGGGGCGGGACTTCCCACACTTACATCATCGTCACTCCAAAGTGTGCTGCGAAATAAGCTCAAGCTGTCCTAAAAGACCTAACCTACGGCGGAGAGCCAGCGGCTCAGGCTCCGTGGCAGTGAGATAGGACAGTGAGTTAGCTTCGGGCTGTTTGATCCCTCCCAAATATGCAGTCCAGTCAGCATATTGGCAGTCGGCCGAGCGCAGACAGGGTGATCTGTGAATCTGATCTCTATTCTGCTGCCGGCATTATAGGGGGCCACATCTAGACAAAGTCCCCCTCTGTCGAGTAATACCCAAAACTCGATGGTCCCCGTTCACCATGGAAACTAGCATCATGCTTGTCCCCCCTAACCGAGCGCGACCGAGATAGAAAAGTGAATCGACGCAGAAAGGGGCCGTTTGGTCTTGCCTCATCTGCCTCATCTGCGGATCCTGCTCAAGCAACGTCAGTCCCATGCTGCAATTGATACTCCCTCCCAAATTTTGAGATCACTCTTGAACCCCATGTCTACCGTATGAACGAAAACAGGAGTCTTGACCCCTCGCCTTTCCTCGCTTTTATAACATTTCATGACAACGAAGAAGGAAAGGGGGGGGGGGGGGGGGGGGGGGGGGGGGGGGGGGCGGGGCGTGGGGGGGGGGGGGGGGGGGGGGGGGGGGGGGGGCGGGGGCGGGGGGGGGGGGGGGGGGGGGGGGGGGGGGGGGGGGGGGGGGGGGGCG